AGGACCCAGGAGGGCACTTGAGCTAAAGGCCGGGGAGACGTGAGATGCTGAGCCGGGGCCTGGGCCCTGCAGGACCCCTCAGGCAGCAGGTGGTTTGGGGGCGCTGATGGGCCGATCGCAGGATGGGGGAGGCATGGGAGCAGAGGGGACAGTCTGGAAAAGTTCCGGACCCTGTGGTCAGCTGGAAGGTGGCCCCGAGACGTCTGTCCCTTTGGCCCCAGGATCCTGACATGGCCAAGGGATTCTGCAGGGGCGACTAACAGCCTTGATACGGGAGGTCGCCTTGGGTTATCACAGAGTCCTGGGGTGGGGAGGGAGGCTCAGAGTCTGGAGGCTGGAAGGTGCCATGCTGCTGGCCCTGGAGCTGGAGGAAGGGTGGGGCTGGGCGGCCGAGGAATGCGGGAGCTTCTAGAAACCAGAAATGCAAGGAAGCGGATTTTCTCACGCAGCCTCTGAGCAGCCTGCGAACTCTGTGATTCCAGCCACGGAGACCCGTTCCAGCCGCTGACCTCCAGAAAGAGAGGCGGGTGTGTGTTGTTTTAAGCCACTCAGCCGGGCACCTGGTCACTAGCTTCAGAACAACAGGAAGCTCATGGCTAGAGACTTGCCCCTGTCCTAGGACCCATGAGTGCCTGAGTCTCAGTTGTTCCTCTGTCACTGGAAAGAAATCTTCAAGCCAGGTGGTCTGCTTACTCAGGAAGAGGGCTCACAATGGCTACCCCTTCCTTGGCCCTTCCCTGAGGGCCCTGGGTGTTACCCCCACACACGGCTTCTCCCTCCGTCCTCTGACTTGGGCACCCCGTCAGCGGGACTGGGGTCCTGCCAATGCCCACTGGGGCCAGCAGGAGGACCCTTGTCCTGGAGCCCAACAAGAGACCACAGAGAAAACCCTACCCTGGAATGGAAAATTCTAGAGTGGGGACAAACTGGAGCAGACAGGTGTTTGTGAAGAGGCGCTTACCACGCAGTGTGAGGCCAGCATCAGGACACAGAGCCAGGGGAGGCCTAACAGAGCCAGGGGAGGCCTGAGGCCAGGAGCCCAAGGAAGTGTTGCTGCACCCGTCCGAGTGATGGGGCCTACAGGGCAGGCTGAGGGGCAAGGGTGGGATCCGGGAGCTCTGTGGGGGAGAGGTCAATGGATGAACCCCTTCCTCACCCCTCCTGAGCCCTGAGATAGACCTGGGAGTCCTGCTGGGGGTGGTGCCTCCAGTTTCCGGCGAGGCTGGGTTGGGGACAGTGGAGAGACACTTTCCCAGAGTCATTGCCTGCCTCTGTCCTGCCGGTGTAGGTGGGTGGCCAGGGCCAGGTCGAGCAACATAGGTGTCCCCAAGTCCCTGGACTGGGGCTGGGTCCACTTACAGGTCCAGCGTCTGCTCCCAGCTGCCTCTGGTGGGTCTGTGCACCATAGGCCTCCACCTTGCTGGCCCAGCAGGAGTGGAGGCAGGAGGACTGCAAGGGAACCCAGCAGAGGACCCAGGAGGGCACTTGGGCTACTGGGTTCCGCCCTGAAGGGCCGGGGAGATGTGAGATGCTGAGCCGAGGCCTGGGCACTGCAGGGCCCCTCAGGCAGGAGGCGGTTAGGGTTAGGGTGGAGCTTTTTGCTCACAGCCCCTGCCAATCCCCTCCCCGTCGGCAGGTCTCAGGCCCTGTGATTCGGAAGGTGCAGGCCTGCTGGTCACCATGTACCTGTATCGATCTTCTTGGGGGAAAATCAATAGCTCCAATATGCCAGCTCTCAAGGGGCGCCCTGATAAACCACCCAGCTAGTGAGCTCGCACGCCTGCAGCCTCTACCTCCCCATCAGAGGCCACAGGGCCTCCCATGACGTGCCTGTGTGTACTCTGAGATCGTGAAGGTGAAGGTACTGGTTTACGTCTCGGGGGGAGGTAGAGGACACAGCGCCTTTACTGGCAGGGCCAGGGCGGCTCCACATGGGCCATTGGAGCCAGGGAGGGCCCCACCCGAAACACAGGGACCCTGGCACATCCAACAGTGACTCTTCCCACTCAGGGTCCAAGTCATGTCATCAGAGGGTCAAATAAACACGTAGCATTCGGAGACATCACTGCCCAACAGCCAGAGGCCACGGGAAACAGACACTCGCCGTGGGAGCCATGACATGTCTCCATGGGAGGGTGCAAGAAGGACTTCCCAGATTCGGCAGTTGTTGGTGGTCTGAGGAGATTTAGGAGGTGGGACTTGCCTGGGTGGGTGCTGTCAGGAAGTGGGGAGACTCAGGAAGTAGGGAGATTCTATGATGGGCACGTGACTAATCCCCTAAGGCTGCTGTGACAAAGCACCACAAATGGGGGGACCTCAAACAACATTTATTTCCTCCCAGTTCTGGAGGCCTGAAGTCCAAGGTCGAGGTGTCCTCAGGGCTGTGCCCCCTCTGATGGCGCTGGGGAGGGTCTGTCCCAGGCTCCTTCTCTCTCCCAGGCTGCCCCAGTCCCCAGTGGTCCTTGGCGGTAGACACGTTGCTCCAAGGTCCTCCTTGTCACATGATCTTCTCCCCCTCTCTGTGTGTCTCCCCTCTGACAAGGACACCAGTCCTTGGACTTAGGGCCCACCCTAATCCAGGAGGACCTCGTCTTAACTGATGACATCTGTGAAGACCCTATCTGCAAATAAGGTCACATTCTTAAGTCCCGAGGGGACACTTCAACCAGTACAGCACCTCCTGGTCCTCCCAGCGGCCTGAGTGAGAGGGATGTCCACTTAACCGCTGAAGAAGCTGGCAGCAAGGGGTTAAGGCATCCCTGTCTCAGTTCTGTCCCTGACCCAAGGCTGTCATCAAGACTGAGGTGGCTCATGGCCCCCAGAGGCCGCCTGTCCCAGGCTGCAGTTTTAGCCCCCACACTGCTGGCCTGCGGCAGCTTGTGCCCAGCTACCCTAAAGCATCCCACCTAGGACCTGCACCAGCCTCCGCCAGGAAACTGCCGGCAGCCTTCCCTAACGGCCCCTCGGTCTCCACCTTCCCTGGGAAGCCTCCCGGGCTGCACATCGGGATGATTCTGACCTAGCCTTCCCAGCCATGCTTCGAGCACCCTCCTCCCACACACAGTGAGTGCTCCCAGGGCCTGCAGGGGGCTGGTTGGGCAGCGATTCAGGGTGGGGTTCCGGGGTGGAACAGTTGGGGCAGGGCCCAGCGAGGACAACCGGGCAAACAGGTGCCTGTGTTGACACAACAGCTCCTAATGTGGTCCTGGGCTGGGCCAGGGGCGGGGAGGACGCCCAGGTGTTGCTGAGCTGGGAACCCCTCCAGCTGCTGTCCCTGTCTGGGGCCGCAGGCTCCGAGGCACAGAGCTGGTCCCAGGCCTGCTGCTTCTCCCACCAGGAGGCAGGCGCAGGAGCAGGTGTGCCAGAGGCAGAGAGGGTGACCTTAAGAAGGTGGGCACGCTGGAGGTCACCAGGACTCAGGGTCTGATCTTGTCATCAGTCCCCTCTGTGGCAGTCCCAAAGCAGATTCTAGCTCAGGAGGACCACCCAGCCACATACCAAGCAGCAGACGGGCCAAGGACCCAGTCACCTCCCCATCAACAGGGGATGGGCCTAGTGAGCAGCATGCACCCTAGGAGGCAGACAACCTACAAGACCTGGGCAGAGTCAGGGTCACCCGGGGACATCCTGAGGGGAGGGACAGGGGAAGCTGGAGTGTCCAGGCTTCCAAGTTATCTTGCGGTTGGCATGGGTGTGAGCTCCTCTCCAAGACACTGGGCATTAGAAATGACATGTTGCCGGGCTCGGTGGCTCAGCCTGTAATCCCGCGCCTTTGGGAGGCTGAGGTGAGAGGAATGCCTGAGCCCACGGGTTCGAGACCCGCCTGGGCAGCGAGACCTCATCTCTACAATAAATCAAAAAATCAGCCGGGTGTAGTAGCACATGCCTGTAATTCCGGCTACTTGGAAGGCTGAGGCGGAAGGATCCCCGGAGCCAGCAGGTCGAGGCTGCGGTGGCTGGGAGCGGCCACTTCACTCCAGTCTGGGCGATAGAGTGAGACTCCAACTCAAAAAAAAAAAAAAGAAATGATATGTTATTTTCTAAATCAAAATAAATTAGCCAGGCATGAGGTGTGCGCCTGTGGTCCCAGCCATTCGGTAAGCTGGAGTGAGAGAATTGCTTGAGCCCAGGAGTTGGAGGCTGCAGTGGGCCACAACTGCACCACTGCAGTCCCGCCACCTGGGCTACAGAGCCAGGTCCTGCCTCTAAAGACATAAAGCCCTAATTCAGCACATCAGCCACTGTGGGGCTGCCGGTCCAGTGGCACCTGGACTCTATTTCCCACGACACATTGTGGTTTATTCAGCGTAAGGACGTGCAAGGCAGTGTTTGTACAGCTGATGTCGAAGTTGGACTGTCTCTTGTCACAGCTCCTCGGGCAGGACGGCCACACACTCACGTGCATACATACATACACACACACCACTTTCACACAAGCACGCACACTCACATACATACACTCATACACTATCACTCACACATTACACACATACTGACACACACATACACACTAATACATTCACGCACGCACACATGTGTAATTCCACACCCCTCCACGGAGAGCGCCGGCCAGGCCGGGGGCCCTGGGGCCATTAGCCGGCAGTTCCCAGGGAAGCCCTTGCGGGCCGCGGCCGAGTAGGCCTGGACTCCCGGAGGACACGACTTGCAAGACCACGAGCCCTAACCGTCCCAGGCCGAAAACCAGGCCGGCGGTGGCGGTCGGGCCTGGGGAGAGCGGGCCGGGCGGTGGGGAGGCCGGTCGGCGGGGTCCACTCCGGACAGGACGGAGAAACGCCCTTCCCGGCAGGCCCTCGCGCCCCGGGGGCCGGGCACGGCGGCGGAAGAGCCCGCCGGCTGCAGTGCGTCACTTCCGTCGCGCAAGCGGGCCCACGTTTTGTAGTCGTGAGCGGAGGCCGGGTATGGCCCCGGCTTCCGGCCTCCCGCTCCGGAAGTGACGCGAGCGCCGTGCGCCGCGGCGTCCGCGCGGAGCCCAGGTCGCGATGAACCGTGTCTTGTGTGCCTCGGCGGCCCGGTGAGCTCCGCGAGGTCTCGGGCGCGGGCGGGCGCTGGGTGGCGGGCGAGCTGTGCGCTCACGGCTTTCTCTCTTCCAGGGCCGCCCGGGCGCTGAGGCTCGTGGGCTGGGCTTCCCGGAGCCTGCACCCGCCGCCCGGAGGCCGGGCTCGGGCGCAGCCGGAGGCCGAGGGTCAGGAGGAGGAGGAGGACGACCCGAACCGCCCCCTTCGGTTCTCCTCCAGCGAGGCCCACCCGGCCCGCTGGACGGTGGAGCACTCCCTGGGGAAGGGGCAGCAGCAGCCCTGGTGGAAAGTACTGCCGCTCAGCCTGTCCCTCTCAGCCCTGGTCCTCTGGCTTTATCTGCGGGACGAGGGCGCCGCGGACCGGTGGCTGGCGGGGGTGCTGGACGGAGAGGGACCCGAGGAGCCCGCCCCTCCCGCCGCCCACGGCACGAGGACGTAGGAGGGAGCGGACGGCCGCCCCCGCGGCGGTGTCGCGAGGGGCCGTTTCCGTCCCGGCGTCGCCGAGGCCTGCGCGGCGGGGGCCCAGACCGCGCGGATTCGCCGGAGGCGGGGCGGGACCCCGGCCGCCCGGAGCCTGCGCCCCGACTGTCGCCTGTGCCTGGGGATTCCGTCCACTGCCCGAGCCCTAGAGGTTTTAGTTAAAGCGCCGCGCGAGGTTGGATGTGTGAGGTCTTCGAAGAACCCAGTCATGCTTCCAAAGCGATGCTGGCGACACTTGGCATCCAGTGTCAGTTTTGCGGGTCATCGCCTTCCTGGGAGTTACTGGCAACCGTGTTAAACTTGGTGATGTGCTGTGGTCGGTGTAAATGGCATCTGTCGATTTTCACACGCTCGCGAATTGAAAATAAAATTTAATTTTGTAATGTGGAACGAAGACAATTCCCTTTTCTGGCATTTAACTTTTTAAGAAAAGAGTAGTTTAGTAGGCCAACATCTGCCTTTTAGTTTTTTTTTTTCCAGAGTGGGATCTCAGAAAAGGAACTTGAATGTAAATTGTGGAAGACATTACCAAATGGTACCAGAAACAAAGACCTTGCTCGGCTTTTTTGCATTTTGAATTCTGAGTAGAATTCAGCTGATGAATATTACTTTTCACTAATTATGGGTGCTGTTTTGGGTTACCTAAATGATATTTTTTTTCAACTACTGCTTAGGAAAAATCTGCTTTATTCTGAATAAAATACAAGATGCATAAAAGAAAGCTTTTGTTTACTTAAGCTTCTGTGGAAGGCTTTATCTCAGCATGCTTGTGGTACTGAAGTTAATTGGGGGGGGTTCTCACGCAGATACTGGCTGTGTGGCAGTACACTGGCTTCTCACCAGGCTCCTGTGCAAAAGTGCTCCAGGTGTCTGGCACACCTTGATAAATTATATTTGTGAGAGAAGTGGGATGGATATGGGTATATTCATTTATTTGAAGAACGGAGATGCCAGTTGCAGTGGCTCTTGCCTGTGATCCCGGCACTTTGGCGGCCAAGGTGGAAGAATCGCTTGAGACCAGGAGTTTGAGATAAGTCTGGGCAATATTGCCAGACCCCTTTCTCTAAAAAAAAAAATTTATCATGACATGCTTGTGCATACCAGGAAGGCTGAGGCAGGAGGATGGCTTGAGCCCAGAAGTTGGAGGTTGCAGTGAGCTATAATTGTACCTCTGCACTCCAGCTTGGCCAACAGAGACCCTGTCTCTGAAAAACAAAGACTGGGTGCGGTGGCTCAAGCCTGTAATCTCAGCACTTTGGGAGGCCGAGGGGAGAGGATTGCCTAAGACCAGGGGTTAGAGACCAGCCTGGGCAACATGACAAGACCTCGACTCTACAATAAATCAAAAAATTAGCCGGGCATGGTAGTGTGTGTCTATAGTTCCAGCTACTTGGAAGGCTGAGGAGGAAGGATCGCTGGAGCCCAGCAGGTCGAAGCTGTGGTGACCATGAGCGTGCCACTGCACTCCAGTCTCCGTGACAGAATGAGACTCCAACTCCAAAAAAAATGGTGATGAGACCAAGGTTTGCAATGAGTGACCTAAGCTTAGCTCAGGTTACGTCATCCCATCAGGAGCCAAGAACTCAGATGTCTCCTTTTGGGCCTGGCAAGGTTGTGACCTGTTTGGTTCGGGACCATTTGGTTTGAGCAGTCATTTGAACTCAAACCCTGACATTTACTCTCACTAGCTCTTATAGGAAAAAAAAAAGTTGGAACTAATAACTTGTTAATTAAAAGTAACTTTCATATGACAAAAGCAATATATGTTTTATTCTGGGAAAGTTAAACACTAAAATAAAAAGAATCAGAAGCAACAACAATCCCAACACCTGGAGGGACCCACTGTGGACGCTTGTTTACTTTTTTGGGTTGTTCTCCTGCACACATCGGTACATCTTTTTCACATATGCAAGTGGGGTTGTAGCATTGTCTTTGATGAGACACCCCAGGGCATTTACCCATGAGGGTGGTTCTGGTGGTGACCTTGCACCTGTGACTGGCTTTGTGAGCAAAGGGAGGACCCCAGGCTAGCTGGGGACAGCGGGCAGACCTTCCGCATACCTGGAGTTTGCAAGGTGCACAAAGAATGGCAGCCGAGCAGATTAATGGGTAAATGGTTTATTAAGCCTCTTTATTGCTGAGCTGCTTCTGTAGTGTTTTTGTTGTTGTTTCTCCCCACCCAGCTATGGCTTTTATTTTTCCTAGGGACTTGGCACATTGACCTCCTCAATAACTGCCCAGTAGCTGGGCACAGTGGCTCACGCCTGTAATTCCAACAATATGGGAGGCAGAAGTGAGAGGATTGCCTGAGTCTAGAGGTTCAAGACCAGCTTGGGGCAATTTGGGGAGACCTTGTCTCTACAATAAATCAGTTATCCGGGCATGGTGGTATACGCCTGTGGTTCCAGCTACTTGGAAGGCTGAGGCTGAAGAATCGCCTAGCCTAGCATGTTGAGGCTGCAGTGGCCGTGAGCGTGCCACTAAACTCCAGCATAGGTGACAGTGAGACTGACTCAAAAAATAAAAAGTACCTAGTGAGCATTTGAGTGGGAGAGAACATCACGAGCATGGTAGAGCAAAAGAAGCAGTTGCAGTGATACTGAGACGAGCAGTTGTTAGGCAGAAAGAGGAGGAAATTGGTTTTTTTTAAGGAAAAGAAATTATTTCAAGGAAGAAGTAAGGTAAATGGTCACTTCTAAGCCGATGAACAATCTTGGAAGGTCCTAGCAGAACTGTGCGTTTTTTCCCCCAGGAAAGGTGGAATACTACTAAATTCACAATGAAAACCCTGGCATTACTTTATATGTTTAGAACTACCCCTGCCTTTAAAGAACATTTCTTCAAAAGTATGAAAAGTGACACTTTCTCTCTTAGATTACATCAGTTCTCTCTGACGTCTTCTGGGAAGATGCCACCTGTGTGAGGAGGAGCTGAGGGCTGTCTTCACTGTACCTCTCCAGTCAAGATTCCGCATCTCCCTACCCTGGGCCCCCAGCGTCCTTTCTTGGGCTCTAAAAGGCTCCCTAGACATCTCCACCAAACTCCACAATGGAATTCGTCTCCCCCACCGGTTTCTTCGCCTCTGAGCTGGAGACGCGGGGGTTTCCTAGATGGCTTTCTCATTTCTAGTGCTGGCAGTCAGTCAGCAAGTTCTGCTTATTCCTCTCCTGAAAAATTCATGGGCCCTGTCCTGCCCTGCTTTATTTTCCAGTTTGTTCTACTTTGAAAATATCATGTTCTTGACTTTAACATTTTAATTTTAAGATTTTAATGCAGTACTCGTAGAGCTGATAATTTTAGAAAATGTGAATGTATGAAGTCATTCTACCAGTGAGTGAGAACTTTTGTTATTTTACAGTATTATTATATTTCAAAAAGTAACATACATACTTGGAACGAATACATGGGAGTGTTGTGCCTTGCTTTTACCGTAAAAGGAAGCATTTTTCAGATCACTAAAATGCCTTAGGAAGCTCTGTAATTATCAAATCACGCATAGCACTCAGAATTTTACCATTTCCCAACTACTGGGCTGTTAGGCTGTCTCGAGTTTTGCTAAGTAGCGTGATACCTTTATACACAAATCTTTGAATCTGATGTTTTTAGCTCAGTGTTCCTAGAAAAGGAACAAATTGTTTTTACAAAGGTCAGGCCCCGGCCCCGCCCCTTCCCCCCAACACACACCGGCGTGTGTGTCTTCCCTTGACTTCCAGTCTCTTGCATTCGTTTTCTCAAGGAACAGCTCTGCCGGGGTGTCATCCGTGTGTTTTCATTCATTCATTTAAAGGCGCAACTCGGAAGACCGGCACGTCCCGGGCGGCCATCGCCACAGCCTGCCTTTAGA